AATTTCACGGATTACATCCTTCAAAACTGCCTTCTTGGGAACAGCCTAAGCTTTGTCATCTACTACTGGCTTTGCACGAATGAGACAGGCGCCATACTAGTACAGTCCTGTAAATTTAGAATCTTGCATTTGTTCAGGTAGGTGATTAGACTGGTGGTAACGCAGTCTTCTAAAGTTGGTGTCGGTGGTGATTTTAAATCTGATTGGGAACGTTTGCGATAATGGACGAGTATGCTTGGAGCAACCAAGATTGTATTCGAAGCTGTTCTAACATTTTACTAATCAGCGCTATTACCAGTTAGATTAAAGCCGTGAGAATGCTTGAAATTGTCGAGCTACTTCATCTGCTCGCCATTAATCACTTAAATACTAAAATTTACTCAAATAGACGCCCTTCTGCTCAACGTGCACACCCTATATTGTTTTCTTTCGTTTTCTTTGCTATTGTCAACCATGATGTTGGTATCGCATAGGGGCGACGGATTGGAGAGATCCAGAAATATCAGCCATCGCTAGCTGAAATTTAAAACAGGGTCTATTTAAAAAGCTCGTGGAAACGAGTACGTTGGTTGAACTAAAGAAGACGTAATCCCAAAGCTGTATGGCTTGTTCGGAGAGCATTCGACGTAGCCACAGGAGGTCACGTCTCTGCTGAGTAACAGAGTGCTTCAAAAATGGTTGCGTAAAACTATCAGCTAAGCTGTGGTTTCCTTTAGGGACTCGGAAGCAGCCCAAGCTGCTCTTTGCCTTCAATTTAGTTCTTCCTTAGAATGTTCTTCATATTCAATGAACAACCGAGATATGAGTAAGAAAAGTTGATATTAGAGCCTTCTAGTTCTATTTCATGGCCTTCGCAAAAAAAGTTTTTCATGTATTGAGCCTTGATTCGCATCCGTATTCCTCCCTTACTTCGTGTCGTGCTATGAATCCCCGTTATTAATACTTCTCAAGAGAATAAAACGAAGATTTGAGAAAATCCATCAACATGTATACTTCTCGATTCAGGTTAATGGCTTCACCGCTGCAAGGCGGCGCTAAACAGCTTTGACGATACGGTCTTACATATGGATCCCTTTCGCGACTGTCGTGCTATTAGATGGAAAGCCGCACCGTTGCAAGCCATTTCTTATAGCAGTCGGCCAATGCTCTCACATTAGACAAGACCACCTTGGTTGATGTGCGTTGACGGTATAATGCCAGTGTTCGCTCATAGACGAAGATTAAGACAAGAACTCCTCGGTACTCCGGACAAAGTGGGATATTTTCGAAGTTGTCTACATGTAATCCGCGCGGCTGAATCGTTTGCGAGATTAGCTTGACTTGCTTCACCAATAGCCTTGATCATGTCAAAATAACCTTCGTGAAAAGTTTGTAAGGTGTTCTAATGGAGAAGGACCGTTTCGTTCTTCGTTATTCGGACTTTTCTCTATCGAAGGTAGAATATGAGGTGCGTCGGAACTGTGCATCGTCGTGCAGACGATATTTTCCAGTCCGGAGAGAATCGACCGTAACATGGTTCGGTCACAGAGCAGTGGCAGCCTTGAGGCTCCGAACTTTTTAGGTATTCAGCAGGTAAAATCCATAATGGTAGTTCTGTAATCTTGGACTGATGAACCTGACAAAGGTGTCGTTGTGTTGAAAAAAAAATTGGTTTGAAATTTCTTCCTCGTTTATCTATCGTTGGGAAGATATAATTGTCCTGCCTTCGTTTGAGGCTTTTCGACAAAATAACAACTCCCATACTCTTTGATTACCTCTACTTACGGAAGTTTTCTTTGCACAGTCGCTCTGCAACTCGTGTTGGCTTTGAGTTGCTTGAGATGTGATGCAGTAACGCACCCTTCAGTGCTCTCCTCTTCTCAAGCAGATCCTTGGTGGCTTTTGAAATGCGTCCAAATTCCTTATTCGGGACAATGAGGTGTCTGCATCGCAGCTCTATAAAACCTAATACTTTATTGGTCATTTTCGGTGAGACAGCCACAATTCAGGAGCTCCTCCAACCTGACGCCTTCCGTATCCCCGTTGCAGCACGATAACAGACCTCTTCCTCGCTTTTTGATTAGCAATATCTTTGTTCAAATTTAATTCCAATGAGACTTTCGAAGATTACCTTTGCTGAGAATGTGATCGATTTCCATGCGAGTCGTACTGTTGGAGGACTCCACGTCCACTGACGGTTCTTTTTTAATGACGTTGCAGTTCCCAAAATGAAGTCGTGCGGCAGGCAAGAGCTCAACATGGAGCGTTAGAATTCCCATTCCGGAGCCCTAATTTATGTTACCTAATCCTGTATGCACTCTGTCATCCCGATTCTCGCGTTGAAGTCACCGATCATGAATTTGTAGGAGGACTTCT